GTTAAGCGCTAAACTTCGCGCTTGTGAATGCTGAATATTTAATTATGGGCGAAATGATGCGTGATGGTCCTGGCGTACAATCACCTGAACGTTTTGAGAACAGAAGGTTTCTGCAGCATTGAGTTTATAATAATTTAAACTGATTATTGTAATTAAGTTCTAATGCACTATTTCCAGCAACGAGTTTGGTTTTTCCCCAACTTTTCAATAGTACTGTATCTGTATGGTGCTTTCTGATGTCACTGCAGGCTAGGAAAGCAAAGGCCTGCAGTTACAGCTAGAGGGCGCTATACTCCTTCTAATTCTTGCAAATGGCCACCCAGTTGTGTAATTGAGAGATAAGATCGTATTTAAGAGAGAGATAACATCACTTTATTGGCCATATACAATTTCTTGTATTAGGAATTTGTCTTTTTTCCCAAACCCCAACTTGCTCTCCATGAGGCACCGACAGGGAGAGAAGCTTGGGGTCAGAGCGCAGGGTCAGCCATTATACAGCGCCCCTGGAGCAGTTGGGGTTAAGGGCCTTGCTTAGGGGCCCATTGGAGTAGGATTCCTCTACTGCCCACTGGAGAGGATTGGATTAGTGGTGAAGGGTTTCTGATAGTAAAATCAGATTTATCATCTTTTATTAACATTCAAAAGTTAAATTCACAGAACCAGCTATTTAAAGATCCATTTTTCTAAACACAATGGATGTTATTTTCTTTCTATACCAACCAGGTATACCACTTCTAATGTGTTCTCGTCTCACTGTTTTCTGGTGATTTGCATTTTTATGTTTTATATTTCTCTGTTGTATATAGTATGGATGACTTCTTATTTCTGTTTACTTTATGTAAGTCTACATGTTGTACGTTGCAGCAGATAAGAGCATCTCTTAAGAAACAAAAGCAAAGCATTGTTTTTGGCATATCTCCCCAAGACCAATAACTCTTTAATTACACACCTATTGCAAACCTCTTTTACCAGTGTGACAGGTTGAATGACTCATTTGAAAGGTTCGCGTTTTATTCATTTGGCAGATGCATTGGTCCAAAATGACTTGGAGTCCCTACTGGTGAAGATGTACAGTAAAGGGTGTGTCCTGTATGTGACAAACGCAGATCTCCCTGTCTGTGCTGCTCCCAGGCTCTGAGCAGGAACACGTTAGACAGCAGATCGCTCTGCTGAAGGTATTTCACCATGGGGGAATCCTACACAACACCAGCGACTGCGAGGCTCTACTCTGTCTCTTGCAGGATTCAGATACAGTCTCCGGTGGGCCCAGAGCCACATTATACCATCCGATAGACATTGGGGAACTGTACTGCGCTAAAAGACCAGGGCCTCTATTGCAGCAGAGTCTTCCACTGTTTAGATCTCAGAGGGAGATGACATCACTTCTATAACTCGCTCAGCGCATGAAGCCTGCTACATACAAGACAGAAGCATCAAACATCAGTGAATGACTTTCTTGATGGTCTAATTCTATGCTGGCTCTAGAATATCTTATAAATCCTGTATTTCTATATAGATACCTGTAATATCTGGACGGTAACAACAAGAGACAAATGAAGGAAAATGACTGTCATTGAAATGGCCTAAATCCTTAGACATTGATAATGCCTCCTATGAGGTCCATCCTGAACTGTGAGGTGAAAATTAAATCAAAACAAATTTTAGTTATCCAATATTAAGTATGGTACTTTTCCAAGGGTAATTAGCTTATGTATAAGTTTATCATCAGCTTTTAACACCATCCAATCACACATATTAGTGCTAGATATCTAGACTCTAATATTGTAAATTGAATCTAAGATTTTTGACTAATGGATCACAAAGAATGAGGTTAAATGTTTTTTTTTTAAGAGAGCAGCATTGTTCTTCCACGGGGTCTCCTCAGGGCTGTGTGCTGTCCCCTGTCCTGTACGTTCTGTATACAGACAGCTGTAGAAGCACTTTTAAGGACAGACTCATCATTGAGTCTGCTGATGACTGTTATTGTCAGTCTCCTCCAAGATGCAGACACTGGTCATGGACCTGTGGTTGATTACAGTATGTAGGAACGTAGAAAAAACTTTGAAATTCAAGAGACTGAGTGCAATCAACCAAGCAATGCTGCTATAATATATAATTCTATTTTTTTGTTTTTGATTCATTATCACTCACAATTCTGGATGTATTTAATAAGCATAATACAACTCTTTTTTTGTGTCAGGACAATTTGGGCCATATAGTTTTTTGTTTGTTAGATTGACTTACATTCAATAGATTTACATCTCCTATGGTTTTTCAGTAATTTATTATTTGCTACTGATTATAATCACATTGTCTTTTGTAAATAGTGCAAGTGGGGAAAAAAAGCTGCATTCATAGTAAAAAAATGACAACAGTGTTGTCACTGTATCAACTTTATGAAGAAATTATATTATGGTAAATTATATTTTTTTCTATCAAAATAAACTTTATGTCAAAGAAAAACATCTCAGAACAGTAAACATTCTCACAATCTGTACACGTGCTAACACATTATTTAACTACCATCAAAATAAAAACTTTCTGAAGAACTTGATTGTCCATTTTCAATCAGCGCAAGTGGATGATGGGGAGTACCATAATATATGGTAAGTAATCACTATCAATATCCCAGTAAAATGGTTTTTGTCTTTTATTGGTACAGTATATATAGTACCACATAAGTGCTGTACGAGGAATACAGGAAGCTTTTTTCATTTGAATATTAATGCCATTACTCATTACTTCTTCAGAATCCTGCCGTGTGTAATTAGAGTGAAGCGGGTAGGTTGAATTTAACTTAAATTTAAATTTTAAGGACTTCCTCAGGCCAAGACGTCTTGCACAGGTGCGGCATCAAATCACGTTACTGGCGCGGCTGGTTTTATCTGTTCGTAGGTACAGTATTTACATTTAATAAACATCCCCCCCTTTCCTTTATGCTGACAAAATTGTTTAAAATATGTGTGCTTAATACAACACATAGACTGGAATTCATAAGACTTCTTTGGCAGTCCAGGGCATTTCACTTAAGAACATATGTTAAATCGCTGATCTCTCAATCCTTTCCGTATACACGTATAGACTATAGGTACTATAGTATAGCTGCTACTGCAGCATGTGTTTTGCTTACTGTATAAAAGTGTTCAGTTTCTGTTATTCTAAATTAACCTTTGCACTTAATTTTAGTTATTGTTTTGAATTTGTTCCGCCTAATGAAGAAGACGTAATATGAGAAATGATTATTTAACATCTAATTATAATTCTACATTTTGAGATGTTCAAAGAGAAATCTGGGTTTTAAAATCATATGAAATACCTTTCTGTATTATTTCGCAAGTGGACTCGACTCGACTCTCGGGACAAGCAGTAGAGGAGGTTACGACACCGGAACTAGAAGAGCCACGTCCTCAGTTCAAAAGCGACCTCAGAGCTCAGCTGGCTTCTTCATTCGCAGTAAGGAATTTTAATGTTTATTTTCTCTGAACAGATCTCCTAATTACGGAAAGAAAAATATAATTAAGCTACAGGTTTAAAAGTAGACATGCCTTTTGCTCTGCCTTGCTACATGTACTGTACTGTAAAATAGCTTTCCTGGTCTTCTCATTTCCCTGTTACGTGCAGTTTTCCCTTTCCCAGTCATTATTTGTAGAAACAAACGCTCTTCATAGCTTTAAATGCAATTCTAATACACTGTAAAAGACAAATTAAATGATGGGAACATATTATTTGTAACGCGAGTTTTAGGTACTTGCAGAAAATGTACAATTTCGAATGAAATGCGTATACATAGCCCCATGTATGGTATTTGTGTAGTTAAATATTTTGGGCATATCTTCGATTTAATTGTTTGAACTATGTGTAGTGCTTAAATTTAGGGAGAACTGAACTAGAAAATGGCTAATATTGCAAAATCAAGATGAAGATATGTTTCATTGATCCTGTGTATAAATGTTTTATTTTAAAGTTTGTCTTTTGGTAAAATTGTCTATCTTAACATGTCTCTACACAGAAACTTGCTAACCACAGTCTACAGTATAAGCACGGATGTATAATCTTGATTCAACTAAACTTAATTTTATGGTATTCTTCTACTTTGTCATTTCAAGACATGGGACTATTGTGAAGAAAAATGGTGATATGGTCACTTTCTTTGTGAAACTGAGGGTGTTTTTTTACCCATTAGAATGTGTATTTTCCACATAATGCCAAATTAGTAGATGGGATTAGTACATTGGTACACTGTATATTTGATTAGGCCTGACAATAGCTATAGATGTGTATAGTGTTCCCAAAATACTTCTCTTACAAATATGGTATGTTAGTTAATTATAATAGGGTACTGGTAAAATAAATTCACCACAGCAGTTTGGTTAAAAACTAATGTGTGAAGTTATTCCTTCACAGCTTGTTGTTTTTTATGTTCCTCATCACGCTCCGGGTTAGGGAATGTTGAAAAGTTATTGAAATCAGAAAACGGATGTGTCTGCTCAAATACTTCATAGTAACAAAGTGGTTAGCAGAGTTCAAGCTTAGGTGTTGGGTCCGGACACTTGGTAATTTTAATTTAGAATTGCTTGTTAGTTTGTGTTATATACCCATCCAATTGGGGATTGTCAGTTGTTTTTTTAAGCCTTGGCTTTTGGAGATGACCTCTATGCCCCAAACGCCAAACAGACAGGATGAGAAAGTCTATCCATTCTGGACCTGGTTTGCTACTGTATCTGTGTGCAGTTTGCTCTTCTTCCTGTTTTTACGTGGTTTTCCTCCAGGTGCTCCAATCTCCCCCTGCAGTCCAGGGACATTCTGGTAGGTTAATTGGCTCCCGGGAAAATTGGCTGTGGTGCGAGTCTCTGTGTGCCCCCTGATGGACTGGCGTCCTGTCCAGGGCGTGTCCTGCCTTCTGCCCTTTGGTTGCTGGGATAGACTCCGGCTCCCCCCATGACCCTGAATTGGATGAAGCAGTTAGAAAATAGACGGATGTGTTTGATGATGTTGAAATAGTTTTGCATATACAAGTTAGGCCTAGTTGTAATGTTGAGAATCTTAAATATGCATACCTTAATGTATTTGGAGGAAATATATCGGTTGCCAAGTTGCTGAGGTGTAGTAGACCAAGCAGATTCTTCCTCCGTAGTTTCTTTTTCAGTCGTGACTTGTGCCAGATTAGACTAGGCCTTCAGTGCCTTATGGGTGTTATGATTAAAAGGCCGAAGGCATCAGCCAAGGTCTGATTAGAAGTCAGTCCGAAGAGTTCTGTATCGGTGGCCTGCAGAGTTTGAAGGAGAAGTGTGCCGATGTTAAAGTGGACTCTGCTGAGACCTTGTGGCTCAAAACCATTTTAAATATCTTGTTCTATGAAGTTATCAGTCTAGTCTCACAGATCTAAACCAAAACCAACAGAGTTTCAGATTTTAAAACTAAATAGTAAGAAAACAATATTTCTTATATAAAAATTAAGTTTTGTACAGATACCCATTATATCATGCCTTTCTGGTGAGGTGTTTCAATCCATCTTTATTGCAGTTTCTCGGTGGAAATGGCACAGTTTGAGGAAGTAGCCAAGAAGTCTGTGCTGCACCCCAAGCCTGATGGGCTCATTCTGCAGTACGGGACAGCTGGGTTCCGAACCAGAGCCCGGGACCTCGACCACGTCATGTTCAGGATGGGGCTGCTGGCTGCCCTGAGATCCAAGAGGACGAAATCGACCATCGGGGTCATGGTCACTGCCTCCCATAACCCTGAGGTAAAGACTGAGTAGGAAGGAAGGAAGGCCGTTTTACGCCATTGTTTTAGAAGTCTGTTTCAAAATAAAAAAAAACAACAGCTTCATCTAGACCTCGGCATGGTGAATTGAGGTAGTGTGGGAAAATGAAAATTAGTTCATGTCGGCTTTGCTGAAAAGTGGCCTTCTATGAGCTGTACCGTGTGTTTTTGCCTCTGTACAGGAGGACAATGGCGTGAAGTTAATAGACCCTCTGGGGGAGATGGTGACTCCGGCTTGGGAAGACTACGCAACTCAGCTGGCCAATGCAGAGCAAAATGGATTACTGACAGCCTTAAAGGATATCATTGAGAAAGAAGCGGTGAATATGGACCAAGAAGCCTTTGTAGTGTTGGGTAGAGACACCAGGTAACGTACTGTATACAGAACTGGGAAGGCTGTGAGGAAGATACTGTTATGAGCAGTTTGGATAAAAAGCTGCTCTGGATTTCTATGACATGTTTGTTTTGTCTGTTTGTTAACACTGACCAGTTTTTTCTCATTTTAAATATATTATGGTGTTGAATTGATTTATTTTGCATTCATCCTGATTTCCATTGTTTAAGATAATTTGCTGAGATGGCAAATGAACTACTAACATTTTTCTGCTTTGATGCAGTTGTTGTTTTTTGTTTCCTCTTGCAGAAAGCTGGTTTCTAGTTACTTGATACTTTGGAAACGGCTAAGTTTTCCTTTAGATTTAAATAACTTTTTTTCTCCTTAGGCCAAGCAGCGAGAAGCTTTCTCAGGCTGTTTCTGATGGCGTTGCTTCCCTAGGAGGCAAAAGTCATGGTATGCTTTTACATTTTTTATCCCCAGCAGCCATATCACCCTGCAACTCACAACTGGCAACCCACTGAAGCTAAGCAGGTGTGAGCCTGGTCAGTACCTGGATGGGAGACCTCCTGGGAAAAACTAAGGTTGCTGCTGGAAGAGGTGTTAGTGGGGCCAGCAGGGGGCGCTCACCCTGCGGTCCGTGTGGGTCCTAATGCCCCAGTATAGTGACGGGGACACTATACTGTAAACAGGTGCCGTCCTTCGGATGAGATGTAAAACCGAGGTCCTGACTCTCGGTGGTCATTAAAAATCCCAGGGCGCTTCTCGAAAAGAGTAGGGGTGTAACCCTGGTGTCCTGGCCAAAATTTCCAATTGGCCCTATTCTCCTAATAATCCCCCTCTATGAATTGGCTTAACTTAAACATTAAGTTAAACAGTTTAACATCGGCACACTTCTCCTTCCAACTCTGCAATTGGTCTCTATGAATTGGCTACATTATTCTGCTCTCTTCATCACTGATAGCTGATGTGTGGTGAGCGTTCTGGCGCACTATGGCTGCCGTCGCATCATCCAGGTGGGGCTGCACATTGGTGGTGGTGGAGGGGAGTCCCCATTACCTGTAAAGCGCTTTGAGTGGAGTGTCCAGAAAAGTGCTATATAAGTGTAAGCAATTATTATTATTATAATCTCTCAGTTGAAAAACTGTGCACCTTGCTTCACTACTAACACGAGCAAACCATGTACACAAAATCCACACCTGCACTTTTCATAAGCTGTTGAAAGCAAAGCTGTAGGAGGCAGTTCTGGAAGGTGTAAGATAATAAACTAGGGATACTCATAGCCTGGAAGTAAAAAATGTGATCCTGCTGGTAGCTTTTGTGCTGATTCTTCCTGAGGCTCTTCATGTATTGACAGATTACGGCCTGGTGACAACCCCACAGTTGCACTTCATGGTTTGTTGTCGAAACACACAAGGGCAATATGGGACATCAACTACTGAAGGGTACTACCGGAAACTAGCCCAGGCCTTCATCCAGCTTACAAAGCACGTAAGCCTAATACCCTTTCCTTTTTTTTGTACAGGGTTAGCGTTAAAAAAAATATAGTAGCTTTATACTTCTCTCTTTCTCGTTGCTACATTCTCTCGTTTTTTAAGGCTCCAAACCGCACAGATGACCAAAAGCACTTAAAGGTGGACGGTGCCAACGGAATTGGCGCACTGAAGCTGAAGGAGATGGAGAGCTTCCTGCAGAAGGAGCTGCAGATCTCGGTTTTCAATGACGGAAGAGAAGGAAAACTCAATTTGCTCTGTGGAGCAGATTATGTCAAAGTGCAACAGAGCCCTCCTCAAGGTAGGCAAGAACTTTGCTACCACCTTATCAGCCAGTGGGATCGTAAAAGTAAATAATTCACTTGGGTTACCTGTAAAATGCATGGGTATCTTATCTGTTTAAGAAAATGGTTCAGGTACTTCTTGAATGATCCCTGGCAGTCTGCTTCAGCCTTCTACACTTTAGAGAAATACTACCTGTTTCACTGCTGAATGCACTTGCCTTTAATACACTTTTGCATCCAGGAATCCCAATTGGTGTTGCACTGTTAAGTTTGAAGATAGATCTTGCTCTTGTTCTTATCAGTATCTTTTGTAGGTTTTTGTTTGAATTGCACATCCCCATTAGTTTTTCCTCTGTTCAAAATGAAAGAGTGTTGGTTCTTTTATCCTAGAGGTATTGCAGTGATTGTAGAACTCTTTCCATGGCAATATCCTGAAAGTGGTGTTCTAAATTAGATTATATCTCGTATCATTTTTAGCATTATGTATCTTGTAGTTTTCTTTGTTATTGACTCATCCATGTTTTCTAGAGATTGTAATGATTTCATTAGTTTTTTTTTCCATTCTCTGCAACAGAAAGCCCATTAATTATAGGTGTTGTCAGGCTTGGTTGGCACTGGGTGACGCGTAACAGCAGATCAGGTGGAGAAGTGAGAGATGACTTTGCCAGTTCAATTAAGGAGAACCTTTGAGAAGACTAAAGTTGAATTTAGTCAATACACTAAGAGAAAGTACAGGAGAGCCAAGCTCTGAAAGCTCTGAGAGGTCAGTCTGAAAGGAAACATAAAATTGTATTAAATCTGGACAGATCAGAGCCCTCTGAGATGAGTCCCTTAAATGCAGACACTAACTTTCACAAGCTTTACATTCAACTCACTGCTCAAGTTCAAATACATGTAGTGTGCATCTGTAGTCTGGGTCATTTTGTTCATGTTTGGGACAGTATTTGTTGGACACGGACATGAAGTAATCTATGTTGTTGATGTATTAACCATTAGGTGTTTGCACGCGATACTCTATCTTTCATTTCCATATTTCCATATTTCAAAATGATTTGAATTTCTTAATGTACCCATAAATATTATCAAAGCAATAGCTGATGTGGAGTCTCCTTATTATCCCTCCTTTTCAGCTAATACATTTGCTTCCACCAGATGGAGTGCAAGTAAATGAAATAGAACTCAAATTGTAATGTTTTCAGCAGAAATTTTCTCATTATTTAGTTTCCCTTTATTTATTACACTAGGTAACACTGGTAAAGACCTAGGATGTTCATGAAATTTATAGCTTTGCAATTATTACTGTCTGCGTGGGTCCTAATGCCCCAGTATAGTGACGGGGATAAAGGCGCTGTCTTTCGGATGAGGAGTAAAACCGAGGTCCTGTCTCTCTGTGGTCATTAAAAATCCCAGGGCTTTTTTCAAAAAGAGTAGGGGTGTTACCTCAGCATCCTGGACAAATTTCCCATTGGCCTTTACCGTCATGGCCTCCTAATACCCCCATCTATGAACTGGCTTCATCGCTCTGTTCTCCTCCCCACTGAGAGCTGGTGTGTGGTGAGTGTACTGGTGCACTATGGCTGCAGGTGCATCATCCAGGTGGGGCTGGTGGTGGTGGAGGGGAGTCCCCATTACCTGTAAAGCGCTTTGAGTGGAGTGTCCAGAAAAAAGCGCTATATAAGTGTAAGAAATTATTATTGTTTGAAGCCAAATGGCGATCACTTTTTTTCCTTCTCTCTTATTTCCAAATTACACACTGGTGCACAATGCAAAACTAAAGTGTGAAGGAAAATTCTGTTTTGGTTATCGAAGAAACTTGAAAGTTGGTTAAAGTAACAATGGCAAATACTGTATATGGACAAATTGAGTTTATAGTCATCAATAAGGAGAGAGTCAATCAATTGAATTTAAATAAAATGCTTATGGTGTACAAGATTTGATTGATTTCATAATTTAAAAACAAGCATCAACTCATTAGATGCTGTATTATTTTCCTGAGGATTATGATAACAGTTGGTCAGTTGATTTGAGCAAGAAGTTGTTCCTTTTCATGGGAAGTCATAGTGACACCCTTGAAACTGAAAGCGTCTGTTTCGTGCTGTGGAGACATCTATTGGTGATGTCACTCTGTGGGATGAAATCCTTATTACAGAGGTTTGCACATGAGTCTGGCCCTGTTTGAAACACTGCGTGAGTGTAACATGACTTCATTTTTAAACTGATGTGGTCTTTCCGTCCGTTCGCCAAGGTGTCCAGATGACAGCAGGAGAGCGGTGCTGTTCATTTGATGGAGATGCTGACAGGATCGTTTACTATTATGTTGACAGTGCTGGGCACTTTCACCTGCTGGATGGAGACAAAATAGCAACTCTGATTAGTGCCTTCCTGAAAGAGTTTCTCATAGAGGTAATGAAAAAGAACAGAATTAAGCTACATTACGTGTTTAGTCCCAGTTCGTGCTCAGGTTGTGTTAACGGAGAGAAATGTACACATACTTTCACAAACTCCATCTGAAGCTCATCAGATTATTACATTATTACAAATTTGACACCAGCAACCAAATATTCAGTTTCTTTATTTGCATTATATTTTGCACTATATTCTATTTCCAGAATGTGTCCCAAATGTTTTTGTATTTTAAAGAGAAAACTGAGTTGAAACATTAAAAAAACTTGAAACATAAAAAATTATGAAAATTTGCTGTGTTTGTTGAAATCTGACAATTTTGCACCTTGTGTTCAGGCAGGTTTGGATCTACAGATTGCCGTTGTACAAACAGCATACGCCAATGGTAGTTCATCCCGCTACCTTGGAGAGACAATGAAGGTGATTAATGTTACGGAAGATGTTGTCAAAGCCAGAGAACATGCAGATCTGCGTGTGTTTCGAACTGGAATGTGTTTATATTCAATTAGATTAAGCACAGGTCTTATGCATTAATCTGGGCTAATTATTTGTCATTTTCCCGCTTCAGTGTGGGATTTTAGTTTGACTCAGACGGTCTTGGCTCAAGTCTCCCGTGGAAAGCCCGCTTGTACGTATTTAGGATTTTCAGTGGTATGGATTGCTCTGATCATAGGGGACACTGATCTGACAGGACTGTCTCTTGTTCACCTGACGTTTCCTGTTGCTGCCGCTTGGCTGTTGAGGCTCTGGTGTTTGTGGTGTACACTGAAACAATCAGTAGTCCTGTCCTTTTATCTCTTCCACTTCGTGTTTTTTATACATTGCATACATTCCTTATTACTGAGTTTGTTGTTAATGATACATTTTTTTCAATTTTTTTCAGGTAGACGTGTACTGCACAAAGACAGGTGTCAAACACTTACACCACAAGGCTCAGGAATTTGACATTGGTGTTTATTTTGAGGCCAATGGGCATGGCACTGTAAGTATTGCAATAAAGTCAGACATACAGCAGATCCATATGCTTTATTGTCGATTTCCCCAGGCTCCTTTACTTGTTATTACTGTATATACAGTTGGTCATTATGGTCATGAATATATTGGTCAAGTATGAAAACATCAGCTGTATCATGACTGGGATTGATTTTTCTTATTTCCAGGCCCTGAGTTATTCTTGTCTTTGCATCCTTAAAATCAGTACACATTTTGACTTACTAGTGTTTATTGCCCATATCGATAAAAATTGTCTCATGTATGTGATGGCACCCCTATGTGTTCATCTCTTTTTTTCATTCTGTTCTAGGAGTGTTTCCGGATAAATTAGTCTGAGATAAAGGATTGATGTAGCAATCCGTTCAAAAGTTGTAAATGACCTGTTCTACAACTTTAAAGTTTAAGTAGTTTAATTACGGCCTCATGTTCTCTTTATTTCAATAGTGTGAGGAGTACTAGGGATCAGAAAGTTTACAGGTTGAAATACAATAGATGAGCCCCTTCAGTCTACAAACAGGCGAAAGAACTGCGATTTGGAGTCAAGATTGTGTCACATCTTAATTACCGATTGAGTTTTCCCAGAAACGCAACGCCATATGATGGTGGTTGACATTCATGTACTGTGTTTTTGTTAATAACTCAGAATGCTTAAAGCATTCTAAGTTTGTATTAGAAAGTACTCAGTGTCACATTGCTTTTGTGTATATACAGTTTATTTTAATGAAATTTCACTTTCATGTTTGAATAATATACTGTATTTAAGTTTATACTAACAAATCACAAATTAGGCATTACTTTATCACTAAAGACTCACTAAAACACACAGTATGCAAATGTTTGTTCAACTTTAATTTCTATTCCTTTCAGAATACAAACTAGATGTTCATCTCTTGGCAAATATGGGCCTTGGCCACTTTTTGGGAGTATGTTGTTCAGAGTTGTGCTTTAAGCAGAATTATGTTTTGTGGATGTGAAATGACAATGAAACTGAAATATTTCCATGAATGACCCCTGATGAGTGCCCCTCCTTTTGTTAGGTTTTGTTCAGTAAAGCAGCAGAAAGGAAGATCAGGCAGTTAGCAAATGACCAAAATGCAAGTGACAAGAGAAGAAAATCTGCACAAATCCTGGAAAGTACTGTAGATCTAATAAATCAGGTGAGAAAACACAAGTGGTTTCACTGATGTACTGTCATATCGTGTGTCATGATGGACGTCTGTGATTTCCTCAACCATCTTACTTTCTGGAAAGGGGAACTAAATTTATAGAGGCCCATTTGACCTTATGTAACAAAGTATGGGATTATAGAGATTGTCTTTTGTGGGCTAAAGACAACGACTCTTCTCTCTGTAACCTTGTCACTAAACTTTGCTTTCTGTAACCTTTAAATGTTTTCCTCTTATAGATAAAAGCATCAGCTTCAGAATTGAAAACTCTTGCTCTTTAATGCCTCACTTCCTGCATTGGAGTACACAGCTCAAACACTGTATAGTGCACGTTGTACAGCAACCAGCACCCCAGATCTGGCACACATGGTCGCGGAGCAAGATATAAGCTTTATTATTCTTTTCCTGACTTGTAGGCTCATCTTATTTGCACAGAAACTAGCTGCCTCAGTACTTGAGCCATATATTTTCTGTCAATAAAATAGGAGCTAATTCTCCCCTTTCAAGGATCCACTACATTCTTATTTGGCCTACATGCTGGAAGCTGCCAGATTGTACATAAAGTGAGTTATCCAGTCGTTGTCTGGGTTATATAAGAAATTTCGGAGTAGACTTCGAATTATAAGCCTCCTTTTGAATGAATCTAACTCTGTCCAGGAAATAACTCTCATGTCCACTGCTGTTCAATTGCTTTTCAGACGGTTGGGGATGCCATTTCAGACATGCTGGTAATTGAGGCTGTCCTGGCTCTGAAAGGCCTGAGTATCCAGCAGTGGGATGCGATTTACACTGACCTTCCTAATAGGCAGCTCAAAGTCAAGGTCAGTCACTGTCGTGGTGGGGAATGATATAGGACCAAATACCAGTAGTTTTAGTAATGAGCTGCCTGACAAACTGAACTGGTCATCTGGTCGTTACTTACCTATACATTGAAAATACTTATTTAATTTTGATGCTGGTTAAACCTGGTGTTAATTGTTTAGGTTATATATTTATTTTAGCTGAGATGAAAGAAAAATCTTTAATACAGAATCATGTATGGTTTAGGTTTGTGAATTTCAGATTGATTTTCAAGAATATTTTGAACTGTATTAAAAATAATGTAAAAAGTTCACTGAACTGTTCATAAGAAGTGATAAAAATATTGTTTTTACAATACACTGTAAGAGTATTGTAAGAGTGTATGACTAATTGTACCATAGGAGTGAATCCTGCAGCTATTCCCGTCAATGTCCACTAGGTGGCAGACAGGAGGGTTATCGACACAGCTGATGCAGAGAGACGAGCAGTCAGCCCCGCTGGCCTACAGGAAGCCATTGATGCCCTTGTGAGAAAATACAACATGTCAAGAGCCTTTGTCCGGCCCTCAGGAACTGAAGATGTGGTGAGGGTGTACTCTGAAGCAGACACACAAGTAAGATTTTAAATTTCCTTTCATAGTATGGATGCTTTGTTGCCTGAGTAATCCCATTCTCTTGTGTTTCAGTTTTCGTAATGCTGATTTGAGTTACAGTGAGTGACTCAGCCACTCAGTCCCTGTAGATGCACTACAGTTTGATTTTTATAATGTGACCTGCTGAGGGACTGTAGTTGTGCATTTAACCAGCTTCATTATGCTAAAACATGAGTTTGTCATATACATTGTATTTCTGAACAGAAATGCAAAAACATGTTGAATTATTTAAATGTTTCATCACTAGAGTACCTCAGGAATGTGTAACGCATTCTGCTGTCTGTGATTTTACAGGGCAATGCAGATACCTTGGCGTATGAAGTAGGCCTGGCTGTGTACAGACTAGCAGGAGGAATTGGAGAAGAACCAAAGCCGTTGAATTAACTGTCAGATTTCAGGATTTGTCCTGTATAAACTAGTTGACTCTTGTCTTTTTATAAATCACTTTAATCATTTTATAGTGATGCGGGTTCTTTCAAAGATGAAAACATTTCGATGGGTGAAGCATTCCTATATTCTCTTTGTCATTTTCAGTTTTTAAGAGCACCTGTCAGTGCTGAGACTGTTGTCTTATTAAGTCAGTCGTGTTTGTGTAATTGTTTTTGTTTACTTGCCTCATGGCATATCTAAATTCCAGGTCTGGATAAATATGTTTTACTCTGCTATGTGTAGTGTAAATTCTGCCTTAGAAGTTAATGCATATGCAAATGTTCACCAAGTCATAATATGGACAGATTGTGCTGCTACTATACAGTATGCACTTTATTTGTGTTACGGCAGTAAGGTTCTTGAATGAACCCTGATTACAGTGTATTCTGTTTTACATATGTGACACCCTAGATTTACAGAATTGAATGTTATACTGTAGCTTTGTTTACACTACAGAAGGTATATATGTTTTTACAGCAGTAGTGAGGAATTGGTATGGGTTTGTCGTATATCACGTTGGTTCCTTAAACTGGTGCAATAATTCATTGTGGTTCTGTGACAGAATTAAAGAAACATCTCATGAAGACTCAACCCTCTGAATCTGCAGGGTTTGAATTTACATGCAGCGAGTGCACTGATTAAATGCGGAGACGTGTATTGTATACTGATATACAGAAGTTTGTTTTTCCCAATACAATCATTTTAGCTTTCATCGTGGCTGCATCTCATGTCTAATCTACCCGATATCAGGTGTACTGTAAATGTATGATTATTAAGGGATTTTATAAGGTGAGCCTAATGTAGTTTCCTTTACCTTCTTGAATCACTGTGACTATAAAATGGAATTTCCTGAAAGAAGCTGTAAGAAGATTTTTTACCAACAGTAGATCTATGCTATGCTTGTAATGTCCAAATTAACAAATCCTGTTAATGAATATGAAACTTTGCATATGGAAATGTGAAGAATGTTTCATTAACATAAACTGCAGGCTTTTATACAATAAACTACAATCCAAAATGCTACATTTAACCTGCTTAAATATTTGGCTTTTATTAGTAAACTCAATGTCTTTAAAACAAGAGGATGGATATTTCACAAATTATTTTAAAAACAGATGCCTTGAAAATGTGTTACAGCAGGATTTGCAGTGCATCTTTTTAATACACTTCACATTTTCACAAACTAGAGCGTAGTGAATAAACATGGTAATGGGTGTGATATTGTTCTTAGCTCACCTGGAAGTCCCCGTAATTAATGTGTCCATTACACAAAAATGTTTTTATTTCACAATTGTTTATTTAGTAAGTCACAACAATAGGGAATGGTACAATCATTTACACTCTGACCATAGATGGAATAAACCAAAAACCACAGTCAGCCATACTTACAAATTGAGTCAGCTTTCACAGTCGTTCAATATATACAAATAAAATTATTTAAATGCATTCATCATAAATACAAAATGAAATTTACACTTCAGTTTTTGTTCCCACGTTCGGGGCTGGGGTTTTTGTTCAGTCACGTTTTGATCACCCCTTCCAGGAAGTCCTTCTCCACCATCTCCTCTATGTCCTGCCGGGCCTTGCTCCAGAACACCTTCTGACTCTCCAGTTTCATGTCCTTGCCGGGGAAGGAGGCGGTGTTGAGGACGGGGCTCCCTGAGTGGCCTGCAGAGCGGCTCGTCACCTTGCTGTTGAACACCTGGCTGAGCACGTTGAAGAAGGGCAGCAGCTGCTCCATGCTGCGGATGGTGTACAGCGTCAGCAGGAGGTGGCCTGGCTCCCAGGCGATAGTTCTCCCTGAGCTGTCCTCCTCTGGGTTTTTCTGCTCACGGGGAACAAAACGAAATGAAGACGTGAACGACTCTGCTTCACACCTCATTTTGGCACAGTAGACACTGCCCTCGTGAGATACAGAGTGGTTGTTTTCTTCTCAAACTAGCAAGATGGGGCAGTTTTAGTCCGCCTACGAAGGCCTAATCAAAACTCAGTGCAGCACAGCCTGGAGCTTTTGTCCCAACATGTTCCTTCATAGGAACATGTAAAGGTTTTTTCCATGCTGAAAAGAGAAGAAAGAAAGCACAACCTCGCGGCTGTGGAGCCGCCTTTGGGCCTCACACCCGAAATGTGTTTTCTCTCTTCTCTTTTCAGCCTACGCATGCTGATGCAGCTACCCACCTGAACTGCTCCTTCATGTTTACCTGGATATGTTCACTTCTTGATTCTGATAAAACTGGCATTTGGGAAGTGTCCACAGATGGTAAACCTCATTTTCTAATTATAATGCACCAGTTATTTGGAAGCCGCTTCATAGTGAGCAGTTCTAAGACCAGTCAAGTGATGGACGGCCCAAGTGGCTTACAACTAGCAAGGCTGTTCTTCGGTTGTTATTAATGGGGTCGTAAGGGTATACAGAAATACTGTAGGTGTGCAGATATTCTTAGTGTGAAACAAACATATGGAGAAAAAGAGGAGTAGTGCAGTTCAATGTGCTGTGAAACTATTCTTATGATCTGATGTTTGAGTTTGACTAAAACTCAGAAGTATATTTTTTCAATTGTGGAGTTACTAGTGGAGTGGTTTACCTTCGCTCTCTTCCTTAGAAGTTTTGCCAGTCGAACCACATAAGGTTTGAATTCCCTTTGGTGAGTCCCTTGCCTGCGAACCTCCAAACCAGAATCATCTGATGCTTCGGGAATGAATGCCCACCGATACCTGTAAAAGATGAGAACCAGTGAACACAGTAGAAGGGGTTGAGCGTTTAAATTCACACTAAAGAAGCCAACATTCTTCAATAATTACAAGGCAGCATGATAATCATTAGTGCTTCCACTTCATAGCTCCTGGATCCTGGGTTTGATTACAGACTGGGTCACCTTATGTGTGGAGTCTGCAAATTTTCCCCCTTTTCAGATATTTTCTCTGGGTTTACTCCACCCTTGCTATACTCTCTTAAACTGTGTGTGTGTTCCCTGTAACGGCCTGGAAACTCCTGATAATCAATGGGTATTATAAATCTCTACCTTGTTCCAATGTCAGTCTTATCTTTATACTTTGTACTTTCATTGTCCTGTTGAGAGTTGTTAAATACTCATATCCATTCATGACATGGGGTGAAATATTTAAGTAGGTGGATACAGAATTGTATTTTGATGATCAAAACCATCTGGTTTTCTCTGTGTTGATATTCCCTGGAAGAAGAAGAAAAATCTTATGAAAAAGCTTACATCTGGAACTGAGGCAGGCTTTCAGAAGGCAGCGCCAGGGCCAAGTCAAGGAATTTGCAGGCAGAGAGGTAGAGATTGAGCCAGCGCTGGCTGTTGTAGGAGGTGGAGAATCCATTACCCCCTGTGTATGTGGTCTCCAAGCCTGCCACGGAGGGGCCAGATGTTCTAAAACAGTAAGTAATTCCATAAGACAAAGTCTTTACAAAAGGGGGAAAATTGATGGGAGAAAAAAGTGCACAGCAGGTCATACTGCTGCCATTGTCTTATATTTCTGCATTCCTTTTCATCCTAACACATGCTAAAAAAAGGGAGAAAGGGACTCGGGTCAACCCACTGGGGTTGTGCACTGCGGCAAGTTTTCCTTTATAGTTTCTAATTCTTGCATTCAGCACATAGGCTTGACATTCTAATACTGGTGTAAAGAATATCTAATTAATGCCACCCCAATTAATGTTCCATTTTTGTTCAAAGCTGTAGCTGAAACACAATTCAGTTTTGTCACACATAATTCCTTATCGTGTCTGCTCTTACCTTGAAATATCTTCATCAGCTGTGAGCTCCTGCTCCATAAGTAAAAACACTTGAACCTATTAAAATGGGAGAAATGTATTTATATTACAAATACAAATCAAGTTAAAATTAATGACATATGTATATATATTATTTATCACAGAAAAATCATGTTGCTGTACGTGCTGTTTAAAGGCAGTACTCAAATGCCAAATACTCTTTCTGGCATGAATAACACAAGCCCTATTCTTCCGTTTTCCCTTACCAGCTCTGTGATCATCGTGGGCCAGAGGGAGGTCAGGTGTTGAGGAGACATTCGCAAGAGCAGCACCCGAAAAAACAGGAAGACCTGCGCATGGAGAGTCGGGACTTGGGGGAGTCGGAGACTCTCCACTAGGCGTTCTGATAACACGATCATACAGGATGGAAAAAAAAATCAGATTTCAGCCTTTGTACCTCTAAACAACCAGTGAATGTATGTTTGTGTCCAAACTCAATAGTATACTTTTTTATTATTGGCAAACAATATGCACATAGAAATTATAAAGCAGGGAAAGAAAATTATAAAGCACAGTCTGGTAATAATCTGGAAGTTAAACACATATCATTGTGATTTGATGTTCTTATCCTTTACAGTTTATGACTTTAATTCTTTTATCTTGTGTCAATTTGCTCTCGTGTTTTTCTTCCTTATTTAATCAGTCTATAGAACGAAGAGAAGCTCCAATGGCAGAAACCAAGGAAGTGGCAGAAAAAGTGAATTCTGACCCTGGATGTCTGGGAGGTACTTCTGGTACTGGTCCACCTCGCTGCTGAAGATGGTGAAGGCAAGTCTCTTGAGCAGCATGGCTCTCTGCTCCAGCTCGGCGTCTCGGTTCGTAAACAGGTTGAGGGAGCTGCTCTGCGCCACTGCTACCCGTGCTGTACGCAGATACACGGCACAGAACGGTTCATTGCAGAAACCGCAAGTACCGTACCCAGACAATCCTAGCTAAACTGAAAAACGACAAAGCCAATGAAACAGCAGCAAGAGTTTCTTCACAGTACACACGAAGACTTAAGTTAATAATTGAAGTTAAAATTGAGTAACTGAAATAAAAATATAAAATTAAAAAAAAAAAAGATTAACTGAAGTATTAACTTCAACAGCTCCGAACAGTGGTTTTCGGTCTGGAGTACGCCTGCTCATGCTGATACGCAGCACTTGTTATCACCTACAAGCTTTCCCATGTTTGCTCCCCTCAGCAGCCAATTCCCCATTTAGATGTTGTTCATGGTAAATTAATAGAGAACAGTCTTTTGCACAAACATCCCCATCTTCAAACTGAAAGGATTTAAATTGCTCAAAGGGGGGAGGCAAGTAAAATTGGGTCAAGGGTAACTACCACCCCCCTGCCTGGAAGGACAAAACCATTTAAGCTATGATCACTCAAGCTATGCTTGATAACTGCTTCTTGCTGAGAACATGAACCACATGTAAACTAATAATAATAATTAATAATTGCTTACAC